GGTCGTGCACAGGAGTGACATTGGCCAATAGCCCGGTTTGGGTATTGCAATTCTCATCGCCTCCTGGCGTGCATTTGGGACGCATCCTTTTTACATGGTGTTGGTGTCCAGGTTTGCCAGCCACTCGAGTCCCCTAGGGCCTAAGTGATGGAGGCATTTCTGGGGGGGGATACCATCTCTGCCAGCAGACTTTGCCTTTCTTCATTTCAGCCAGGCCCTCCCTCGCTTCCTTCTTGCTGATGGCGGTTGGGGGTATTGTGAGGAAATCGAGGCCCCATTGCCTGGTGGTGTAATTGGCGGTGGATTTCTCGTTTGTTGTTTTTTTGTCGGGCGGTCCTTTTGTTTAACACGTGGCAGGCTTCCGCGACCAATATCATCCACAATACAGGTTTTTGGTGGGTTAGATCGCGTAAATATATAAATGTGCCGTTAAAGCCGCCACCACCAGACAGCCAATTATTAAGGTTTGTCACGTAAACTGAACATGCCAATTCGTTACTAGTACAGCACGCTGGTGTGTTAGAGCCTAATGAAACTAGTTGTGATTACTGGCGAAACGTCGTACTCAGATTAAAAATGTGGCTTTGCTCTCCAACACACTACCGGTGTTGCTGTACTAATAACGAATTGGCCACGTTCTGTTTACGTGACAAACCTTACTAATTGGCTGTGTCGGGTGGTGACGGCTTTAACAACACATTTATTTCCGCGATCTAACCCAAAAAACCCTCTATTATGGTCCTTTTGTGTTCCCCACTAGTTTGGAGGCTATAGAGTTGGGCAGGACTCTTGTGGCCCGGTATTCCCTGTTGGGTCAGCAGCGCCCAGATGTCCAGGCACAGCGTGGCTGGAGTCTGCGAAGTCCAGGCCCTGCAATGCACTCAACCCACCGCTGGCGTCTGGCCGAGTCTAAAGACTTCAGCAGGGCCTTTTCAAACTGTGGGCTGCCTGACTGGTTGCACTGTCGGAGCAGGTCCTCTGGGTCTCTTTCTGTCCATCAGGGAGTTGATTCTCTCCGGAAGCTTCCGGAGGATGCTCTTCTTGGCGGTTGCAATGAAGAGGCCAAGAAAACTGTGATAGCATTCCGGCGTCGCGGGGAATTCGGCTCGCCACTCTGCCTGCAGCCTCCTTACAGGTGGTCCCAGGCAGCTTTGGCCAGGTTTCCACCCTGGTAATAATTTTGACAGAATCACGAGGCGGGATTTCGATCGATCGATGATCGATTATTGGATTGCCGCATCAATAGCGCTCAACAGTGGGGCCGCGGCGAAGGCTGCCCGTCTTCCGCTCCTGCCGCAACAATTGCATCAATCGCCCAAGATGCTGACAAGCGGCGAACGGCGACCCTCTGGACAAAGCGATGCCCGTCAGACGCTCTCGAGCACAGGGTGTGAAGATCCATTGCAGATCGTCTTTCAGATCGTGCAGGTCAAAGCAGGAGGGCCATCGCCCGAAACGTCATCTCTTGCGTACCTTTGTTTTTCATTTCCGAGGTCACGAGCGCAGCCGTATCGAGCGATAATGCTGAGTTGTGCTTTTTTTATTATTATTCAGTTGCCGAACAAATTTAATTAAGTCCGTGTAAAGTATAGGGGCGGTGAAACGTCGCGATGGAATTCGAAAGAACGGCTGATAATGATAATCGTGGAAACTCTTAACCACGAGCTTTGCAGTGCCGTGACATTTACATCTTAAGCACGCACTCGTAGATGGTCGGCATCGCATTCCAGAATTAAAAGGTGTTAATGTAACTGCCGAGGAACGCGACTTCTCACTGCCACCGGCTGGCCAGCCGTGATGGATGTTCAAGAGCTCTTGGCGCAATTGAACTTGTCACCTGTAATGTCCGAGGCACTCACCCGCTTGACAGGTTGCTGGGCTCACGCCCAGTGAGGGGGAAGCCGCCACATTGGGGGGGGGGGGGGGGGTGGCCCAATGAGCCCCCCTCCCCCCCCCCCCCCAGTTTAAATGTATGAACACCTCGGGAGATAATACATTTTTTGGGGTTAATTTAAGGATTTATCCACAAATGTGGCTGTTGCCTGATGATGCTGGTGGTTGTTGTAATTACCGGCGACACGTCAGGTACTCGAATTGTAAATGTTGTAGTGGGTTTACTCTCCAACACACAACCGGTTAGTGCTGTACTAGTAACGAATTGTCAATGTTGTAGTGGGTTTACTCTCCAACACACAACCTGTTAGTGATGTACTAGTAACGAATTGTCAATGTTGTAGTGAGTTTACTCTCCAACACACAACCTGTTAGTGATGTACTAGTAACGAATTGTAAATGTTGTAGTGGGTTTACTCTCCAACACACAACCGGTTAGTGATGTACTAGTAACGAATTGTAAATATTGTAGTGGGTTTACTCTCCAACACACAACCGGTTAGTGCTGTACTAGTAACGAATTGTAAATGTTGTAGTAGGTTTACTCTCCAACACACTATAATTTACACTACACACTGCACTATATACTACACTATACATTTCTCTACTATTCACTACACTATACACAACATTATACACTACAAACTACACTATATACTACACTTTACACTACTATACACTATTTTACACTACTATACACTAAACTATAATTGTAAATGTTGTAGTGGGTTTACTTCTCCAACACACAACCGGTTAGTGCTGAACTAGTAACGAATTGTAAATGTTGTAGTGGGTTTACTTTCCAACACACAACCGGTTAGTGCTGTACTAGTATAATACACTATACACCACACTATAAACTACACTATACACTACACTATACACTACACTATAATTGTAAATGTAGTGGGTTTACTCTCCAATACACAAACTGTTAGTGCTGTACGAGTAACGAATTGTAAATGTTGTAGTGGGTTTACACTCCAACACACAACCGGTTAGTGCTGTACTATTAACGAATTAAATTTTGATTGAAAGCTTTCGTCACTGCAGGGATTAATATTCTTGGTTCTTTCGGTAAATTCACGTAGAAGCGAAACAATAAAATAATAAAAATATGAAACAATAAAATTCTCACGACGTTTCGACTGCAACACAAGCAATCATCATCAGGTGTGAAAACCACAGCAAGAAAATTTTAAAAAAGTGGCGTTTTTTTTATTCACGTTAGCACCACGGAGAGCGATTTGGCAGTTATTCGAGTCCATCTATGTTCGGAAAAGAGGAGGGGGGAGACGAAAAATAATGGATGCGGTCTGAAAGCCACCGTAAGCGTGAACAATCAATTAAGGCCCGAAATGGTTGATCAAATCCTTCCAATGATTGCTAAGCCAGAATCCATCTTCTCGGTTGAAATTGTCTCTGTGTTTGTATATGTGGATAGCCTCGTGAACGAATCTTTCATGGTAGCCAGATGGCTTGCAAAGAACCTCTGTCTTGGGGAAGTCAATGTCATGTGAGCCTACTGAATTATAACAGTGATCTGCCACGGCCGAGGTGTTGGTCCTTCCGTGTTTTAGGTCTGTTTTGTGTTCACGAATGCGGTCCGAGACATGTCGTTTGGTTTCTCCAATGTAACTACTACCACAGAGGCAACTTAGTTTGTAGACGCCAGGGTACTGTATGTCCGGAATCACATCTTTTACAGACGGAACCAGATCACGGATTTAAAAAAAGCCACTTTTTTCAAATTCTCTTGCTGTGGTTTTCACACCTGATGATGATTGCTTGTGTTGCAGTCGAAACATCGTGAGAATTTTATTGTTTTATATTTGTATTATTTTATTGTTTCCCTTCTACGTGACTTTACCGAAAGAACCAAGAATAGTAACGAATTGTAAATGTTGTAGTGGGTTTACTCTCCAACACACAACCGGTTAGTGCTGTAGTAGTAACGAATTGTAAATGTTGTAGTGGGTTTACTCTCCAACACACAAGCGGTTAGTGCTGTACTAGTAACGAATTGTAAATGTTGTAGTGGGTTTACTCTCCAACACACAACCTGTTAGTGATGTACTAGTAACTAATTGTCAATGTTGTAGTGGGTTTACTCTCCAACACACAACCGGTTAGTGCTGTACTAGTAACGAATTGTAAATGTTGTAGTGGGTTTACTAGTAACTAATTATCAATGTTGTAGTGGGTTTACTCTCCAACACACAACCGGTTAGTGCTGTACTAGTAACGAATTGTAAATGTTGTAGTGGGTTTACTTTCCAACACACAACCAGTTAGTGCTGTACTAGTATAATACACTATACACCACACTATAAACTACACTATACACTACACTATACACTACACTAAAATTGTAAATGTTGTAGTGGGTTTACTCTCCAACACAACAACCGGTTAGTGATGTACTAGTAACGAATTGTAAATGTTGTAGTGGGTTTACTCTCCAACACACAACCGGTTAGTGCTGAACTAGTAACGAATTGTAAATGTTGTAGTGGGTTTACTCTCCAACACACAACCTGTTAGTGCTGTACTAGTAACGAATTATAAATGTTGTAGTGGGTTTACTCTCCAACACACAACCGGTTAGTGCTGTACTAGTAACGAATTGTCAATGTTGTAGTGGGTTTACTCTCCAACACACAACCGGTTAGTGCTGTACTAGTAACGAATTGTAAATGTTGTAGTGGGTTTACTCTCCAACACACAACCGGTTAGTGCTGTACTAGTAACGAATTGTCAATGTTGTAGTGGGTTTACTCTCCCAACACACAACCTGTTAGTGCTGTACTAGTAACGAATTGTAAATGTTGTAGTGGGTTTACTCTCCAACACACAACCGGTTAGTGCTGTACTAGTAACGAATTATGAATGTTGTAGTGGGTTTACTCTCCAACACACAACCGGTTAGTGCTGTACTAGTAACGAATTGTAAATGTTGTAGTGGGTTTACTTTCCAACACACAACCAGTTAGTGCTGTACTAGTATAATACACTATACACCACACTATAAACTACACTATACACTACACTATACACTACACTAAAATTGTAAATGTTGTAGTGGGTTTACTCTCCAACACACAACCGGTTAGTGATGTACTAGTAACGAATTGTAAATGTTGTAGTGGGTTTACTCTCCAACACACACCCGGTTAGTGCTGAACTCGTAACGAATTGGCACGTGTTGTGTTACGTGACAAACCTCAGGTTGTTTGCCGGCTTGACGGCACATTCACGAGGTCTAACCTGTGACAAATATCACGGATAATATTGGTCGCGAAAGCCCGAACGCTTTCAACTACCTCGCGAGATGACGGCGGAGATACAGACAGGACAGAGATGAGAGAGAGAGAGATGAGAGAGAGAGATCCACCCGTGTATTTAACGTGAATTGTATCCCAATTATCGTCTAAGATTTCAATCGTTGTTTTTTTCTTGATTCGAATAGGTGACTCGCCCTTCGACCGCAGTAACCCATGGTCAAAACCTCTGCCTCGTTGTAATTCCCAAGCGGCGTGCCGACAGACAATGGGACTGGGTAATAATAGCCCTCCGCGCAAGATTAAATGAAAAAGACATCAATCACCCACGATGCTGACAGGTATAGGCAGACAAGCCCCTTCTTATATAAAGCGATGCCCGGGCAGACGCTCTCGAGCAGAGGGTGTGAAGATTCGTTCCAGATCGTCTTTCAGAGCATGCAGATCAAGCAGAGCATGGGCAGGTGAGTTGTCCGCCTCGTCGTGATGATGCAGATCGCGGCCAGGTGAAGTGCTCCACCTCGTCGTGATGATGCAGATCACGGCCAGGTGGGTTCACCACCTCGTCGTGATGATGCAGATCACGGCCAGGTGAGTTCACCACCTCGTCGTGATGATGCAGATCACGGCCAGGTGAGTTCACCACCTCGTCGTGATGATGCAGATCACGGCCAGGTGAGTTCACCACCTCGTCGTGATGATGCAGATCACGGCCAGGTGAGTTCACCACCTCGTCGTGATGATGTAGATCACGGCCAGGTGAGTTCACCACCTCGTAGTGATGATGCAGATCACGGCCAGGTGAGTTCACCACCTCGTCGTGATGATGCAGATCACGGCCAGGTGGGTTCACCACCTCGTCGTGATGATGTAGATCACGGCCAGGTGAGTTCACCACCTCGTCGTGATGATGCAGATCACGGCCAGGTGAAGTCTACCTCGTCGTGATGATGCAGATCGTGGCCAGGTGAAGTGGTCCACCTCGTCGTGATGATGCAGATCACGACGAGGTGAATTCACCACCTACCTGGTCGTGTTTTTCGTTTATTGCCATCACCCCCCTCCATCGCCTCCTGCTGCCTAAGCCATTCTTGTTGAACATTTTGTGTCACTTTCCATTCGGCGAAATGACGCTGTCCTCCTACAATACCACCAAAGACTTAAAGCTTTCGTGACTGCGGGAATTAATATTCCTTGGGTCTTTCGGAAAAGTCACGTAGATAGGTACAAATTAATAAAAATAGTAAACACAAAATACACAATGTGGTACCTATCTACGTGATTTTACCGAAAGACCCAAAGAATATGAATACCACCAGAGTTCAAGTGGCGCTTTAACCCCGTTTACACCGCTCGGCATAATTCACCCCCGCACTGTGCATTACAAAGACAAAGATCCCCCGCGTAGCCTTAACAGACTGTAGGGGCAAGTGCTGTTAGCGAGCACCTATGAAGGCCGGAACGGTACACGGGGGGGGTGGGTGGCCAGCACCACGCCCGACCGCCTTTGTCTCCCTAGTGGCAATGTTTACACACCGCACCAGGTACTCATTTGAGGCTGAGTCGACCTAGGGGAGGCCCGGGACCGGTTCAGATAATCGTCACTGGTGTTGGCCGTGAGCAGGAATCGAACCCGGGTCGCCAGGTTCATAGCGCAGCGCGCTAACCGCTACACTACCGCTCCCCCCACACACACACACACAGACACACACACACAGAGACACACACACACAGACACACACACAGAGACACACACAGACAGAGACACACACACAGAGACACACACACAGACACACACAGAGACACACAGACACACACACAGAGACACACACACAGACACAGAGACACACACACAGACACAGAGACACACACACAGAGACACACACACAGAGACACACACACAGACTCACACACACAGACACACACAGATACACACACAGACATACACACACAGAGACACACACAGACACACACACAGACACACACACAGAGACACAGACACAGAGACACACACACAGACACAGAGACACACACACAGAGACACACACACAGAGACACACACACACAGACACACACACACAGACACACACAGAGACACACACACAGACATACACACACAGAGACACACACACACAGACACACACACAGACACACACACACAGAGACACACACACAGACACACACACAGAGACACACACACAGATACACACACACACAGACACACACACAGACACGCACTTTTTGTTTTTCGGTACAAATAGTTGGGCGCGATTTGTGTGTGTACCGCCTACACAGCGTTGCGTTTTGTCCACCTGTGCGCAATCAAAACTGTCCCTGGCTCTCACCGCGGGCCTCCCTTACACACGCAACGCCGCTCGCTGTCCCTTGCGTCTCCACGGCTTCATCAACCGTGCGTTGTTCGTTCAATATTCGTCTCCCGGTTCATTAATCGTTCAATATTCGTCTCCATGGGTTCATTATCCGTGCATTGTTCTTCTTTGGTTCTTTCGGTAAAGTCACCACGTAGAATGAGAATAAAATAATAAATTAATAAAAACAAAATAACACAATAATATTATCACGTCGTTTCGGCCACAACACAAGTGGCCTTCATGTGTTGTGGCCGAAACGTCGTGAGAATTTTATTGTGTTATTTTATTAATTTATTATTTTATTCTCATTCTACGTGACTTTACCGAAAGAACCAAAGAAGATGAATCCTTGCAGTCACGAAAGCTTTAAACCGTTCAATATTCGTCTCCCGGTTCATTATCCGTTCAATATTCGTCTCCCGGTTCATTATCCGTGCATTGTCCGTTCAATATTCGTCTCCCGGTTCATTGTCCGTTCAATATTCGTCTCCCGGTTCATTGTCCGTTCAATATTCATCTCCATGGGTTCATTATCCGTGCATTGTCCGTTCAATATTCGTCTCCCGGTAGAAAAGAAGGGCAAAGAACACCGCTGTCGTGTAGCCTTCACAGACCGTAGGGGCAAGTGCCGTTAGCGAGCAGCACCTGTGAAGGCCGGAAGGGCACACGAGGAGGGTGGGCTGGCCAGCACCACGCACGGCCGCCTTTGTCTCCCCCTGTACTGACGTTCCCTACACACCACACCCAGGTACTCGACCTGGGGGGGAGTGGGGGGGGGGCGCTACAAAACATCTTTAGATAATCGTCACCGATGTTGGCCTTGAGCTGGAATTGAACCTGGGTCGCTGTGTTAGCCGAACCAAGTCGCTTCCGCTTCTCCTAGTGAATACGCAAAGGACAGCACGTGACACCCCCCGTATTTAAAACCTAAAAAACTACACGTGTTTTTTTAATTTTATTTCACCCTCGCCATCCCAAATGATAGCTCAGCCAAGCGGAGGATCATCTTCTCGTCGCCGTCCTGGCAAATCACGTAGGTAAAACTAAAATAACAAAAATCACGACGTTTCGGCCACAACACAAGTGGCCTTCATCAGGTGAAGGGACCGGACTGTCCGGAGGACAGCGTTGGGAGTGAAGACAGCCAAGCCCAGGTCGCGTCCTTTAAGCTGTGTTGTGGCCGAAACGTCGTGATTTTTGTTATTTTATTTTTTTACCTATGTGACTTTACCGAATACAACCAAAGATCCTTGCAGTCACGAAAGCTTCAAATCTAGAAGTCCTGGCAAATCACCCGACGATGATGCTGGGTGTGATTACCAGCGAAACGTCGTACTACTCGGAGTGTAAATGCTGTGGATTCGCTCTCCAACACAGCGGTGGTGCTGAAGTAGTGAACTCATTGGCGTTTTGTTTACGTGACAAAATCAATCAATGAATGATTGGCTGTGTCGGGTGGTGGAGGGTTACGACACAACATGTATACTTACCCCAAAACAATTATATTATGAGGAATTTATGTAGCTACGCAATTTGTACTTCATTATTTTGTTTACGTTTCGCAACTTTATGTCTGCACTCCCTATCGGTGGCCTTCCCCCCCCCCCCACCCAGCCCCCCCCCTTCTCGTACCGTTTGTAACTCGCTCACCCCGTGGCCTCCCGACCGCACCCCCACCCGCTGGCTGCAACATCTGCTGCGCGAAAGAGCTTTGCGGCTCACCGGATTTCCTCCCCCGGTCTCCGGAACGCAATTTTTCTTATTCTGTCGCGTGGTGACCGCCGCGTGACGGCAGTGCGGCGACGGTGCTGCTGGTGCTGGCGCTGGCGCTGGCGCTGGCTCCCGTGCCGGGCACGGAGGGCGCTCCGGCCAGCACGGTGAGCGACTGGAAGTCGCTCAACACCTCCCAGGCGTCCGTGCAGAAGGCCATCGTGGACCTGCACAATCAACTTCGCCGCAGCGTGAGCCCCGCGGCCAGCAACATGCTCCAGATGGTGAGGGTCGGTCGGCGGGCGGCCGCGGCGGCTGCGGCGTCGTCGTCATTGTTGTCGTCGTTGTCGTCATCGTCGTCGTCATCGTTTTCGTCGTCGTCATCATTGTCATCATCGTTATCATCGTCGTCATCGTCGTCATCATCGTCATCATCATCGACGTCGTCGACACCGTCATCATCATCATCGTCGTCGACACCGTCATCATCATCGTCGTCGTCATCGTCGTCGTCGTCATCGTCGTCATTGTCATCGTCGTCATCATCGTCGTCATCATCATCGACGTCGTCGACACCGTCATCATCATCATCGTCATCATTGTCATCGTCATCATCGTTGTAATTGTCCATGGCCGATCCACGGGTGGACGGAGGCCTCCTTTTCCACCCAACAACCGCCACCGCCTCCTCGCGACTCGCGGCCGTATCGGCACGTTTCATAAAGTTCCTCGTCCGAGCGAATCGCCACCCATCGAGACTGCGCGGCTCATAAAGGAGATGTAAGACAAACGAAACAAAAACACCGAGCAAACGATATCAACACGACGCAAAGTAAATTAAAAAAAACAACCCAAAAAAGCATCTGGCTCAACAATTACGCGCGTTTGCCATTTTTTCATCGTTTCCACCTCGACGGTGTTTTCGCGTAAAAGAGTTAAAGAGAGAGAGAGCGAGAGAGAGTAAGAGAGCGAGAGGGAGAGTAAGAGGGAGTAAGAGAGTTAAAGAGAGCGAGAGAGAGTAAGAGAGCGAGAGAGAGAGAGTAAGAGAGCGAGAGAGAGAGTAAGAGAGCAAGAGAGAGAGAGTAAGAGAGCGAGAGAGAGTAAGAGAGTTAAAGAGAGCGAGAGAGTAAGAGAGAGTAAGAGAGAGTAAGAGAGCGAGAGAGAGTAAGAGAGCGAGAGAGAGTAAGAGAGCGAGAGAGAGTAAGAGAGTTAAAGAGAGAGAGTAAGAGAGCGAGAGAGAAAGAGAGCGAGAGAGAGCGAGAGAGAGTAAGAGAGCGAGAGAGAGTAAGAGAGCGAGAGAGAGAGATGGAGTAGGAAGAGAGGGGGGGGGGGCAGAGAGGGGGGCAGAGAGAGAGGGAAGGGGTAAGGAGAGCTGAGCGAGAAATATTTTGTTAAATCTTTCATTTAAACAGGGGGGGGGGGGAGGATTTACATGAAGCAAAGCATTAAAAAAAACGAAATGATGAACGAAGCAAAGTTCCGACTACACTGAGCATCTTCTTGTTTTCTCTGATCGTAAAAAAAGAGAGAGAATAAAAGAGTTACAGACTTTTGACTTTTAAACAACTTTTATTGCCGCCAGCCAGCAGCAACAGCACTGGCGGCGATTCCAATATGAGACACGCAAAGTCACCAGCAACACAAATACACAAAGTCACCGGCAACACAAACAATCGCTATACATCCACAGGCGCTGTGGCGCTAAAATGCAGCGCGCACAAACACGAAAGAAAAGTCACGTGAAAGAGTTACAGAGAGAGAGTATGTGTCCCGTCGGTGTCCCATCGGTGTCCTGTCAATGTCCCATCGGTGTCCCGTCAGTGTCCCGTCGGTGTCCTGTCGGTGTCCTGTTGGTGTCCCGTCGGTGTCCTGTTGGTGTCCCATCAGTGTCCTGTCAATGTCCCATCGGTGTCCCATCGGTGTCCTGTCAATGTTCCATCGGTGTCCCATCGGTGTCCTGTCAATGTCCCATCGGTGTCCCATCGGTGTCCCGTCGATGTCCCGCTGATGTCTCGCTGATGTCCCGTCGGTGTCACGTGCCCACGGTGCAGGTGTGGAACAAAGAGGCTGCCAATAACAGCGCAGTGTGGGCCAAGTCGTGCTCCTTCAACCACAGCCCCACCGCCAACCGCAAGACCTCGGGTGAGGAGGCTCCCCCCAACCCTCACCACCCCCCCCGGTTCACCAGCGCAGGGCAGCGAGTCACGGCGGCCAAGCAAGGCCACGGGTTCACAGCAGGGGGTGATTGGTGGCGGTGGTGGCGGTGGTGACGATGCCACGTTCCTTTACCGAGTTCAGTAAAAAAAACCTGCGGCAGGTGATTGATCAATCGTGGCAGCTCCTTCTTTGTTTTCTTTGTCGATGCGGTATTAACCAGGGAGGGGGGGGCGGTGGTTCGAACCGTGCCGATTCTCGCTCGGCACCGAGGTACGCGGGGGGTAGGCGGGGAGGACCACGTGGGAGCGGGACCGATTCCCTGGGCCCTCTCCATCACCGCTGTCACCGCCGCCGGCTTTACATCAGGAGGGACCGCGCTGACCGTGTCTGGGGTGGCCGCGAGATGTTAACTACCTCGCCTGGCGTGCAGGAGGTTCCCGGGTTCCATCCCCGCCACCGACGATGCCTGCCGCTGTGTGTATTCGGAGTTCGCGGCGTCTCCCTCTCTCTCGCTCGCTCTCTTTCTCTCCGTGGTCGCGTGGAATTCCCTCTACGGGGTGCTCCGGGGGTTTCTTTGTCTTATCGCGCGCACTTTTAGAATGAACATCGTGCACTTTGGAGGGCGTCCGGCTGCCCCCCCCGTGAACGTCCACGACGACGATGATGTCGGCCGCTTCGACGTTGAGCTGTCACTCGCGATAGCCGGGGTCGCTTCTGGACAAGCAAACGCACGCACTAAAGAGCGAAATGCGGTCAGCTCGGTGGGGGCCTGACCCTGTGTGAAATAATAACTTAGTTTGAGTTCAGGTCGCCACCTCCCCACGCACCCAAGCATTGCTGCCAAGCTCCTGGGTCTACAATCGGAGGGAGGTGGGAAAGTTGATGGTTCCAAAAGTGAGCGGCGCTTAACCCTTTGTGGCAGTGAAACAGGAGGTGTTTTTAGACGTTCAAACACCAAAAAAATGCACCGATCGCAGGGCATCGAGTCTGCATTAACCCACGCGCACGTGACTTGTGGGAAAACATGCAAACAAAGTGCTCTCATGGTAATAATAATAATGTTTGCGTTGTCTTTGAAACTGATTGGCCTCCACTCAGAGGCAGCAGCCTTGTCTCACTGCCAGTGTTAGACCAGAGAACAACACCAATGGGCGAACAGTACAAATACAACGCAAGTATCAGTGTATTTATACCTCGGGTTGAACAGTTACATCTATGGGATCTTTTTTCCAGTATCTAAAAATGACGAATCGATAAGAATAGGTGAACCATCAAGGTTTTTGGGTGAGATCGCGTAAGTATAAATACGTCGAAGCCCTCCACCACCCGACACAGCCAATCAGTGAGGGATTTGTCACGTGGTTACTGCTTCAGCCCACCGGTGTGTTGGAGAGTGAATCCGCAACGTTAACTCTCCAGAACACCGATTCACTCTCCAACACACCGGTGGGCTCAAGCAGTAACTGTTCGGCGTATTGTTTACGTGACAAAATCCTTTACTAGACTCTTTGGTTATTTCGGTAAAGTCACGTAGGTATAAAGTAAAATAAATCACGACGTTTCGGGCGCAACACAAGCGTCCGTCATTAGGTCGGAAAGCGTGGCTCTGATGCTGAGGCAGACTTTTTAAAAGGTTTGAAATGGGCATAGCCCAAGGGTCATGAAGAAATGGGCGGGGCTAGTGATGTTAATGTGAGAAATTAGCATGTAGCTGTAAGATAGGAAGAGAGCGGCCTACTCTTTCCTTCTTTGCTACAGTTACATGCTAATCTCTCACATTAACATAGCCACTTCCGTGCCCTCGTCCAGGAGGCCGCTCTCCTCCTATCTTACAGTTACATGCTAATTTCTCACATTAACATCACTAGCCCCGCCCACTTCTTTATGACCCTTGGGCTACGCCCATTTGAAACCTTATAAAACAGTCTGCCTCAGCAACAGAGCCATGCTTTCCCACCTGATGACGGACGCTTGTGTTGCGCCCGAAACGTCGTGATTTATTTTATTTTATACCTACTACGTGACTTTACCGAAAGAACCAAAGAGGATGGATTCCTGCAGTCACGAAAGTTTCAAATCAAGAAATCCTTTACTGATTGGCCGTGTCGGGTGGCGGAGGGTTTAGACACATTGATACTTACGCAATCTCACCCAACAACCTTTATATCATGAATAATATTGGTCGCGAAAGCATGCCACGTATTAAACCGAATAAGAATAGGCTTTTGCCCTTTCTGGCAATAAAGCAGGCCAAGTTGTGTTCAGATGTTGACACGCCAAATAGACAACACACTTCATGATGATGATGATGATGTACGCATGAACTTCCAACACAGGCGAGTGTTGACTTCTTCAAGCGTACGGCAAAACCCGTTGTTACAAATCACACGGCCGAGTTTGTTTGAGTCCGCGAGCCTAGGCGACAGCTTACGGGGGTCAAGCCGCGACTCAACTTTTGACTTTTAAACAACTTTTATTGCTGCCAGCAGCGACAGCGCTGGAGCCGATTTCGATACGAAACACGCAAAGTCGCCAGCGACAAATAACCAAACCCCCACTACCCACAACCCACCCACCAACCACCCCCCACCACCACCACCCCCCACCACCACCCCCACCACCCACACCCCTCACCCCACCCACCAACCACCCCCCCCAGCCTTCACCTGCGGCGAGAACTTGTTCATCTCGAGCGCGCCCTTCACCTGGGACTACGCGGTGCGTGACTGGCACAGCGAAGTGGTCAGCCCCGGCTTCGAGTTCGGCAAGGGAGCCAAGGGGCCCGGCATGATCGGCCACTACACTCAGGTGCGGAGCGCGGTGTGCTGAGCGCGGTGTGCTGCACGGTGTGCTGCACGGTGTGCTGCACGGTGTGCTGAGCGTGGTGTGCTGCACGGTGTGCTGCACGGTGTGCTGCACGGTGTGCTGCACGGTGTGCCGAGCGTGGTGTGCTGCACGGTGTGCTGAGCGTGGTGTGCTGCACGGTGTGCTGCACGGTGTGCTGCACGGTGTGCTGCACGGTGTGCTGCACGGTGTGCTGCGTGGTGTGCTGCCCGAGTGTGCTGCCCGGTGTGTGCTGCCCGGTGTGTGTGTGTGTGTGGCGATGCTTTCTGGGTAGACTGGGGGATCTTGGCATGAGCGGCCACTAGACTCAGGTGCTGCGCGGTGTGCTGCCCGGTGTGCTGCCCGGTGTGCTGCCCGGTGTGCTGCCCGGTGTGCTGCCCGGTGTGCTGCGCGTGGTGTGCTGCCCGGTGTGCTGCGTGGTGTGCTGCACGGTGTGCTGCCCGGTGTGCTGCCCGGTGTGCTGCGCGTGGTGTGCTGCCCGGTGTGCTGCGTGGTGTGCTGCCTGGTGTGCTGCCCGGTGTGCTGCCTGGTTGTGCTGCCCGGTGTGTGTGTGTGTGGCGATGCTTTCTGGGTAGACTGGGGGATCTTGGCATGAGCGGCCACTAGACTCAGGTGCTGAGCGTGGTGTGCTGAGCGTGGTGTGCTGCGTGGTGTGCTGCGTGGTGTGCTGCCCGTGTGCTTCCCGGCATGTGTGAGTGTGTGTGGCGATGCGAAATCTCCCCAGTGGCGATGTCTACACACCGCAGCCAGGTACTCGTTTGAGGCTGAGTCGACCTAGGGAAGGCCCACGACCGGTTCAGATAATCGTCACCGGTTATGGCCTTGAGTGGGAAGTGAACTCGGGTCGCCGGCTTCGTAGCGCAGCGTAGCGCTAACCGTTACACTACCGCTCCCCACACCACCACCACCACCACCACAACTAACACCACCATAACTAACACCACAACTAACAACACCACCACTACAGCTAACACCACCACCACAACTAACACCACCATAACTAACACCACAACTAACACCACCATAACTAACACCACAACTAACACCACCACCACAACTAACACCACCATAACTAACACCACAACTAACAACACCACCACTACAGCTAACACCACCACCACAACTAACACCACCACCACCACAACTAACACCACCATAACTAACACCACAACTAACAACACCACCACTACAGCTAACACCACCACCACAACTAACACCACCACCACAACAACTAACACCACCATAACTAACACCACAACTAACAACACCACCACTACAGCTAACACCACCACCACAACTAACACCACCACCACCACCACAACTAACACCACCATAACTAACACCACAACTAACAACACCACCACTACAGCTAACACCACCACCACCACAACTAACACCACCACCACCACCACAACTAACACCACCATAACTAACACCACAACTAACAACACCACCACTACAGCTAACACCACCACCACAACTAACACCACCACCACCACCACCACCACAACTAACACCACCATAACTAACACCACAACTAACAACACCACCACTACAGCTAACACCACCACCACAACTAACACCACCACCACAACTAACACCACCATAACTAACACCACAACTAACAACACCACCACTACAGCTAACACCACCACAACTAACACCACCACCACCACCACAACTAACACCACCATAACTAACACCACCATAACTAACACCACAACTAACAACACCACCACTACAGCTAACACCACCACCACAACTAACACCACCACCACCACCACAACTAACACCACCATAACTAACACCACAACTAACAACACCACCACTACAGCTAACACCACCACCACAACTAACACCACCACCACAACTAACACCACCATAACTAACACCACAACTAACAACACCACCACTACAGCTAACACCACCACCACAACTAACACCACCACCACAACTAACACCACCATAACTAACACCACAACTAACAACACCACCACTACAGCTAACACCACCACCACAACTAACACCACCACCACCACAACTAACACCACCATAACTAACACCACAACTAACAACACCACCACTACAGCTAACACCACCACCACAACTAACACCACCACCACCACCACAAGACAGACGCGCGAACGCACAAGTGCAGACACAACGAATCGAATCGCTGTGCCCCTCTGGTGGTGGGGGGGGGTGGTGGTGATGGGGGGTGGTAGTGGGTGGTGGTGGTGGGGAGTGGTGGTGGTAGTAGTAGTGGTGGTGGGGGGGGGCTCCCTCGATCTCCCCCCCCGCCCACCACCACCACCACCACCGTTCCGCCCCCAGCGGTGTGCGGCGAGCGAGCGGCGCAGTTGCAGGGGCTGCGCCTTTACCCGCCGCTGTCCCGTGTGCCGCGCGTGCCGTGCAGGTGGTGTGGTACAGCTCCTACCAGGTGGGCTGCGCCGTCAACTACTGTGGGGACTCCGCCAAGTACCTCTACGTGTGCCACTACTGCCCGGCGTGAGACGATCACAACGCGGGGGAGCTGGGAGAGTGGTGGATGGGTGGGGGGCTGTGGCCCCCCCCAACCCCTAGCCTCGGGGGGGGGGTATTTCCCCCCCCCCCCCAAACCTCCCCCCACCCCGCCCACCCCCACCCCCCCAACCCTACCCCCCCACTCACCCCCTCCACTCAACACCCACCAGACCCAAACGAAGGCGACTCGACGCAGTTTGTGTCGAGTTGACAGGTTGTGAGAAGCGTGGTGCTGCACGTTGAACTTCTTTCTCGCCGTACGCTCGCCGAGCGTGCAAATCGGAGGGTGGGTGAGTGTGTGGGTGAGTGAGTGACTATGTGGGTGGGTGAGTGACTGTGTGAGTGGGTGAGTGACTATGTGGGTGGGTGAGTGACTGTGTGAGTGGGTGAGTGACTGTGTGAGTGGGTGAGTGACTGTGTGAGTGGGTGAGTGACTGTGTGAGTGACTGTGTGAGTGAGTGAGTGACTGTGAGAATGGGTGAGTGACTATGTGAGTGGGTGAGTGACTATGTGGGTGGGTGAGTGACTATGTGAGTGGGTGAGTGACTGTGTGAGTGGGTGAGTGACTGTGTGAGTGGGTGAGTGACTGTGTGAGTGGGTGAGTGACTGTGTGAGTGAGTGAGTGACTATGCGAATGGGTGAGTGATTACGTGAGTGGGTGAGTGACTACGTGAGTGGGTGACTATGTGGGTGGGTGAGTGACTATGTGAGTGGGTGAGTGACTGTGTGAGTGGGTGAGTGACTGTGTGAGTGGGTGAGTGGCTGTGTGAGTGAGTGAGTGACTATGCGAATGGGTGAGTGATTACGTGAGTGGGTGAGTGACTACGTGAGTGGGTGACTATGTGAGTGGGTGAGTGACTACGTGAGTGGGTGAGTGACTATCTGGGTGGGTGAGTGTTGAACTTCTTCACTACCCCTATCACTACCACTATCACTACCCCTATCACTATCAGGACCCCTATCACTACACCTATCACTACCCCTATCAATACCCCTATCACTACCCCTTTCACTACCACTACCCCTATCACTACCCCTTTATCACTACCCCTATTACTACTCCTATCACTACCACTACACCTATCACTACCCCTATCACTACCCCTATCACTACCCCTATCACCACCGCTATCCCTACCCCTATCACCACCGCTATCACCACCACTATCACCACCCATATCACCACCCCTATCACCACTGCTATCACTACCCCTATCACTACCCCTATCACCACCCCTATCACCACCGATATCACTACCCCTATCACCACCCCTATCACCACCGCTTTCACTACCCCTGTACAAACCCGTCCTTAACTACTCCCGCCTGTCCCCCTGTCACCAGTAACTACACCGCCACCTTGAATCACCCCCACTCTCAGTCTCCACCACTATCATCGGGCGTGCAATTTTACGATTGTTGTTGTACAGCAGCGCTTAGCAATAAGGCGATGCAACATACAGGGACTAACGAACATTCGACTTACGAACTTTCAGAGATACGAACACACCCAGTCCGTATGTCCAGATGCCTGTTCGGACCAAGAGTTGTAAGTTCAACCACCACGCAATCGATGGCGGTGGTGGCATCTACATCTGCAGAACGTGAGGAACCAGTGGCATCTACATCTACAGAATATGAAGAATCAGTGGCATCTACATCTACAGAACATGAAGAACCAGTGGCATCTACATCTGCAGAACGTGAAGAACCAGTGGCATCTGCATCTACATAACATGAAGAACCAGCGGCGTCTACATCTGCAGAACATGAAGAACCAGTGGCATCTACATCTACAGAACATGAAAAACCAGCGCCATCTACATCTGCAGAACGTGAAGAACCAGAGGCATCTGCATCTACAGAACGGGAAGAACCAGTGGCATCTACATCTGCAGAACGTGAAGAACCAGTGGCATCTACATCTGCAGAACGTGAACAACCAGTGGCATCTACATCTGCAGAACTTGAAGAACCAGTGGCATCTACATCTGCAGAACGTGAACAACCAGTAGCATCTACATCTGCAGAACGTGAAGAACCAGTGGCATCTGCATCTACAGAACGTGAAGAACCAGTGGCATCTACATCTGCAGAACGTGAAGAACCAGTGGCATCTACATCTGCAGAACGTGAAGAAGCAGTGGCATCTACATCTGCAGAACGTGAAGAACCATTGGCATCTACATCTGCAGAACGTGAAGAATCAGTAGCATCTACATCTACAGAATATGAAGAACCAGTGGCATCTACATCTGCAGAACGTGAAGAACCAGTGGCATCTACATCTGCAGAAGTTGAAGAATCAGTGGCATCTACATCTGCAGAACGTGAAGAACCAGTGGCATCTACATCTGCAGAATATGAAGAACCAATGGCATCTACATCTGCAGAACGTGAACAACCAGTGGCATCTACATCTGCAGAACGTGAAGAATCAGTGGCATCTACATCTGCAGAACGTGAAGAACCAATGGCATCTACATCTGCAGAACGTGAAGAACCAGTGGCATCTACATCTGCAGAACGTGAACAACCCGTGGCATCTACATCTACAGAACGTGAAGAACCAGCGCCATCTACATCTACAGAACGTGAACAACCAGTGGCATCTAGATCATGGGACCTCCTTTGCATTCTGACGTGATTCCTTTTAACATCTTAACACAGGTGTTTTGTTGCCAGAAAAAAGGGGAAAAACTTTTTCTCACATTTTGGTACTGGCAAAGGAAGTCCCATGATGTAGATACTCACCCCGAGCCCTCATTACTCTGATAGTGGCATTGTCTTTGTGCTGTGTGAGCCTTTTGGCGTCCTCTGGTCTAACACCGTTTGAGACGAGGCTCAAAGAAAGCCGTCTCTGGTGTGGACCAAGCAGTTTCAAGGACAATGCCACATAGATTATCAGTGTGTGTTTTTTTGTTTGCATTCTGACCACAAGCATTGTGGGTAATGCAGACATGATTGCTCGTCAAAGTTTTCAGTTTGGTGTTTGAACATCTTAACACAGCTGTTTTGTTGCCAGAAAAAAGGCGAAAAATCTACTATCAGTGGAATCTACAGCTGCAGAACATGAAGAACCAGTGGCGTCTGCAGAACGTGACGAACCAGTGGCATCTACATCTAAATGAGATTAAACACTTCTAAAGCCGTTCCCCGTGTCTGGTGTACACGCCGTACGACACATTTGAAATCGACAGGAGTAAAGTTTGTACCTACGAACAAGTGGACTTACGAACACAGACCTTTTGGAACCTGACTCGTTCGTAAGTTGAGGAGTCCCCGGATAGAAATACTTCGCGATGAGATCGATGACTAAGGCGGCTCCGCGGGATGTTGACGGCGACCCCCGCCCACCCCCCCCGTGTTGCATCCCACGCAGCGGCAACCTGAACACTCGGCTCACGCGCCCCTACGACAACGGCCCGGCTTGCAATTCCTGTCCCAAGAACTGCACCAACAAGCTGTGTAGTAAGCCCTCCCTCCTGCCTTACACTCACGCACTCACTCACTCACACACTCGCTCACTCACGCGCTCACTCACGCACTCACGCACGCAGTCACACACCCACTCACTCACCCACTCACTCACCCACTCACTCACTCATGCATTCACTCACTCACTCATGCATGCACTCACTCATGCATTCACGCACTCACTCACGCACTCACACACTCACTCACGTGCTCACTCACTCAGCACGTGCTCACTCACTCAGCACTCACTCACACACTCACTCACACACTCACGCACTCATGCATTCACTCACTCACTCATGCATGCACTCACTCATGCATTCACGCACTCACTCACGCACTCACACACTCACTCACGTGCTCACTCAGCACGTGCTCACTCACTCAGCACTCACTCACACACTCACTCACACACTCACGCACTCATGCATTCACTCACTCATGCATGCACTCACTCATGCATTCACGCACTCACTCACGCACTCACACACTCACTCACGTGCTCACTCACTCAGCACGTGCTCACTCACTCAGCACTCACTCACACACTCACTCACTCACACACTCACGCACTCACTCACGCACTCACGCACTCACTCACGCACTCACGCACTCACTCACTCACACGGTCAAACACTCACGCACTCACTCACACACTCACTCACACACACACTCACTCACACTCACACACTCACTCACACTCACACACTCACTCATGCACTCACTCACACACTCACTCGCGCACGCACTCACGCACTCACTCACTCGCTCACTCACTCACTCACCCACTCACTCACTCACACTCACTCACACTCACTCACACTCACTCACTCACTCGCTCACTCACGCACTCACTCACGCACTCACTCACGCACTCACTCGCACTCACTCACACACTCACTCACACACTCACTCACACACTCACGCACTCATGCACTCACTCACGCGCTCACTCACGCGCTCACTCGCGCACTACCACTACTCCCACCACTACTACCACTACTACTAAGACCACTACTACTACTACCACCTCTACTATTACCGCCACTACCACCGCCAATATTACCACCACTACCACCGCCACTACTACTACCACCACTACTAACTACCACTACCACCATCACTACCACCACTACTACCACTGCTACTACCACCACCACTACTAACTACCACTACCACCACCAATATTACCACCACTATCACCGCCACCACTACTACCACCACTACTAACTGCCACTACCACCATCACTACCACCACTACTACCACTGCTACTACCACCGCTACTACCACCACTACTACCACTACTACCACCGTCACTACTACCACCACCACTACTACCACTACCGCCACTACCACCACCACTACTACCACCACTACTACCACCACCACTACTAACTACCACTACCACCACTACCACTACTACCACCACGACTACGACCACCACTACGAACTACCACCATTACCACTACTCCCACCACTACTACCACTACTACTAACACCACTGCTACTACCACCACTACTATTACCGCCACTACCACCACCAATATTACCACCACTATCACCGCCACTACTACTACCACCACTACTAACTACCACTACCACCATCACTACCACCACTACTACCACCGCTACTACCACCACTACCACCACCACTACTACCACTACTACCACCGTCACTACTACCACCACCACTACTACCACTACCGCCACTACCACCACCACTACTACCACCACTACTACCACCACCACTACTAACTACCACTACCCCCACTACCACTACTACCACCACGACTACGACCACCACTACGAACTACCACCACTACCACTACTCCCACCACTACTACCACTACTACTAAGACCACTACTACTACCACCACTACTATTACCGCCACTACCACCGCCAATATTACCACCACTACCACCGCCCCTACTACTACCACCACTACTAACTACCACTACCACCATCACTACCACCACTACTACCACTACTAACTACCACTACCACCACTACCACCACCACTACCACTACTACCACCACGACTATGACCACCACTACGAACTACCACCACTACCACCACCACTACTACCACCACTACTACCACTACTAACTACCACTACCACCACCACGACCACTACTACCACCACGACTACGACCACCACCACCACTACCACCACCACCACTACCGCGTCAACCGAGGTCTCGCCGCGTGCATTTTCTGTCCTCCTGCTTCTAAGCCCCGCCCCTCTCGGGGGCGTCGCCCTCTGACGCGCCCGCTCCTTCTCTGTGACGCAGGCAACGCGTGCCCCTTCGCCGACTCCTACGCCAACTGCGCGCAGATGAAGAGCGCCCTGGGCTGCGGCGACACCCCGTACGGGCGCGTCGTGCGCGCCGCCTGCCCGGCCTCCTGCCAGTGCGCCGACAAAATCTACTGAGGTCCTTCGACGACCGGGCCCACAATCAGCGATCCACCGTGGGATGGCGGAGGGTGGGGGATGGGGGGAAGAGTCCCTCCCCCACCCTCCTCCCCTCCTCTCTCCGCCAGACGCCGCTCCGCTCGGCTGACCGCCTCTCTAATCATTATTGAAATTAAAATTTGTTGAATGTCACCCCGGTTCTGAACATCCTGGCTCCGCCCGTGTTTAGACCCCGCGTCTAAATATCACAATAGAGAATTCGAATCGACGTTTAGTGAAATGTACCAGGCGGAGAGCAGAGGCCCTCATCCAACGGTGGATGGACCATGGCTAAGACTGACCACGACGATGAATCCAAACTATAATATAAAAGCAAATACTCTTATCTATCGCTCTATCGTCTCTATCATCTCTCTATCTCTCTGTCTCTCTATCTCTCTGTCTGTCTCTCTATCTCTCTGTCTGTCTCTCTATCTCTCTGTCTATCTCTCTCTGTCTATCTCTCTGTCTCTGTCTATCTCTCTGTCTCTCTATCTCTCTGTCTCTCTCAATCTCTCTGTCTATCTCTCTGTCTCTCCATCTCTCTGTGTCTATCTCTCTATCTCTCTGTCTCTCTCTCTATCTCTCTATCTCTCTCTCTATCTCTCTGTCTCTCTGTCTCTCTATCTCTCTGTCTCTCTCTCTATCTCTCTCTATCTCTCTGTCTCTCTGTCTCTCTGTCTATCTCTCTGTCTCTCTGTCTCTCTATCTCTCTATCTCTCTCTATCTCTCTGTCTCTCTATCTCTCTGTCTATCTCTCTATCTCTCTGTCTCTCTATCTCTCTGTCTATCTCTCTATCTCTCTGTCTATCTCTCTGTATCTCTGTCTCTCTATCTCTCTATCTCTCTGTCTCTGTCTCTCTGTCTCTCTGTGCGTGCGGACACACGGCGCTCCGTGCTTGCACTACGCGCGCCCAGCACCTTGCCGCTTTTGTTTTTGTGGGGGGTGGGGGGGGGGTCTCGTGACTTTTCTGCGCGAGTCGTGGGGTGTCAATCAATAAACCTTCCCGTGAACATTGCCTACACGCCTTCGCTTCTGGGTGGGGGCCGAGGGGGCGGCGGCCGGGGGGGGAGGAGCTGGGGGGGGGGGGGCGTAGAGGTACGGTACAACCGCGGATTTGTTACTCTCCTCTATTGCCCTCCGCTGCTCGCAACGTAGCGCCGCGTCATCAGCAGCAGCAGCCTATGCCACCTGTTATGCACGGTGGCTGAAAGCTGCTTTACCTTCCGAGAGCGGGCTGATGGAAGTTCTGTCACGTGGCCCGTCCACTGCGCGTGACGTCGGCGGCGCGGCACGGCTTCCCCGCAGTGGGAAAACATTAAAACGACTCGGCGGCTCGGTATGTGCAGCGGGAAGAGAAGGGAGTCACAGGGATGGCCCCAATGAACGTTGCTCACACGTGGTTGCTTCTGCCCCTCTACTGAGTGGGGACGGGTAGGGGCGGGGGGGGGAGTAGGAGCGTAGAGGTACGGTACAACATGGGATTTTTCTTTCCCTGCACTGATCTCCGCTGCTGGTAACGTAGTGCTGCAGCAACAGCAGTAGCAGCCTATGACACCCATTGCACACGGTGGCTGCCCATCCGATGGCTGTCCGAGCTGAACGCTGCTTAGCTTCCGAGGGCGGGCTGATGGGAGTTTTTTGTGTCACGTGGCCAGTCCACTGCGTGTGACGTCGGCGGCGCGGTACGGCTTCCCCGCATTGGTGGGGAAAAAATAAAACAAATCACGTGACTCTTATTCCAGACGCGACCCCGTGCGTCGCGAGTGAAAGCTCAACGAAGCGGCTCGCCACCGCGTGGCGATTTCACGGCACGCCACGTGCTCTGAACGCGTGGCGATGTTGATACTCAATGTTGCGGTGGGAGGAGGAGGGGGGAGGGGAACCGGAGGACCCACGGAGAAAAATCCACGCGACCGCGGGGAGAGAGACGCGCAAACTCAAGTGACACTCTGGTTCACACACAGAACGGTCCGTGGAAGTGGATATCACAGAGCTTCTTCATGTGTGATCGCTTCTTCTTCTTCTCCTTCTTCTTCTTCAAGTGACGCACTGGTCCCCACACACAGAAGGGCCCGTGGAAGTGGATATCACAGAGCTACATCTGAGATCGCTTCTTCTTCTTTTCGATCGGATCATTTGGGCCCCCCCCCCCCCCCCCCGGAGGCTACGCCTGTGGTTTAATCCGCCGAGGATTAGCCCGCACCCTTTCACAACAAACCACTCCCGATGTGAGAATCGAAGTCTATGCAATTCCCCCCCCCCCCTCTCCACCCCCCCCAAAATCTCAACAATTCTTGAAAAGTACAAACGCAGAGCGCACGCCCACACTTTGCATGCGACCAAGTTGCGCAACCGTCTCGTTGCATTGGCAAACTTAAAAAGAGTTAAGTGATTGTTGTTGATATTTGAGCACGTGTAAGGCCCCCGCTGAGCTGCTGTGTAGCTCATTGACCTCCTGGCCATCACGATTAATAGCAGCTCAACGAAGCGGTGGCTGCTCGTCATCGTTCGGAAAGAAACAGGCGAGGTGCAGTAGTGAAGATCCCATAACCACCGTGATGATGATGAGAGAGAGAGAGAGAGACACGCAAACTCCAAATATACAGCAGCAGGCATCAGGGATCAGAATCGAACCCACGACCTCCTGTATACCAGGCGAGGTAGTTAACATCTCCTAGCCACCGTGATGATGATGAGAGACACGCAAACTCCAAATATACAGCAGGCGTCAGGGGTCGGGATCAAACTCACGAACCTCCTGCATACCAGGCGAGGTAGTTAACATCTCCTAGCCACCGTGGTGCCCTCTAAAAAACAAAAATACACGATTCGGCTTGGGGAGCTCTGGTTGTGCGTTGGGACAAAGTAAAAAACGAAATCAGAGTGAGCGATGTGATGGAGGAGGCCCAAAATCCGCTCGCGTCTTACGCAGCGTCAGGGTGGCATCTTTCCACGTTCACGCGAGAGGCGCTGAGATTCAAACAACCGTGGGGGTGCGTCCCGAGTCACCCCCCCCCACCCCCCAATGGTGGAGCCAGGATTCTCAGATGGGGGGGGGGGGAACCCCTCCAGCAATGAAAAATTATAGAGTTGTTAGCAAGGAGTTGTTAGTGAGTAAGGAGTTGTTAGTAAGGAGTTGTTAGTAAGTAAGGAGTTGTTAGTAAGTAAGGAGTTGTTAGTAAGTAAGGAGTTGGAAGTAAGCCAGGAGCTGTTAGTAAGGAGTTGGTAGTAAGGAGTTGCTAGTAAGTAAGTAATTGTTAGCAAGGAGTTGTTAGAAAGTAAGGAGTTGACAGTAAGGAGTTGTTAGCAAGGAGTTGCTAGTAAGTAAGGAGTTGTTAGTAAGGAAGGGTCGCTAGTGAGTAAGAAGTTGTTGGTAAGGAGTTGTGAGCAAGTAAGGAGTTGCTAGCAAGGAGTTGTTAGTAAGGAGTGTTAGTAAGCAAGGAGTTGTTAGCAGGTGAGGAGTTGTCAACAAGAAGTTAGTAAGCAAGGAGTGATTAGTAAGCAAGGAGTTATTAGTAAGGGGTTGCTAGCAAGCAAGGGGTTGTTAGTAAGTAAGGAGTTGTTGGTAAGGGGTTAGTACGTAAGGAGTTGTTAGTAAGCGAGGAGCTGCTAGTAATAAATTGTTGGTAAGGCGTTGTTAGTAAGTAAGGAGATGTTAGTAAGGGGTTGTTAGCGAGGAGTTGTTAGTAAGGAGTTATTAGTGAGTAAGGAGTTGCTAGTGAGCAAGGAGTTGTTAGTAAGTAAGGAGTAAGTAAGGAGTTGTTAGTAAGTAAGGAGTTGTTAGTAAGTAAGGACTTGTCCCTTGCTATTTACTCGACGCGTGTGTAGCGATGACGCAGCCATCGATGGCGAGGGGTCGAATTCGAACCGCGTTGTTAGTGATCGGCATCGCGCTCGCTGAAGGTGTCGATGTCTTCAGGGAAGTCGTGGACTCTGTAGACGCAACTGCGCACAATTCTGTGAGTCACTTACAACTGCTTTTACATTATTTGTTGCCAATTATGGCCTCGGACTATTGTCCTATCATCTCACAGAGTCCCTGGCACGTCGTAAAACGCTACACAGTGGCAGTGGGGGTCGCACAATGCCGATTTATCACTAATAAACCACAATGATCCGATCGTAATTAGGGATTTCGATAGGATCGTTGGGGGGGGCACGTGCCACCCCCCCACCCCACCCACCGCCCCCCCCCCCCGGAGGCTACGCCTGTGGTTTAATCCGCCGAGGATTAGCCCGCACCCTTTCACAACAAACCACTCCCGATGTGAGAATCGAAGTCTATGCAATTCCCCCCCCCTCTCCACCCCCCCAAAATCTCAACAATTCTTGAAAAGTACAAACGCAGAGCGCACGCGCCCACACTTTGCATGCGACCAAGTTGCTCAACCGTCTCGTTGCATTGGCAAACTTAAAAAGAGTTAAGTGATTGTTGTTGATATTTGAGCACGTGTAAGGCCCCCGCTGAGCTGCTGTGTAGCTCATTGACCTCCTGGCCATCACGATTAATAGCAGCTCAACGAAGCGGTGGCTGCTCGTCACCGTTCGGAAAGAAACAGGCGAGGTGCAGTGAGGGAAAAAAGAGTATTTGATCCCCTGCTGATTTTGTACGTTTTCCCAAAGACAAAGAAATGATCAGTCTATAATTTTAATGGTAGGTTTATGTGAACAGTGAGAGACAGAATAACAACAACAAAATACGGAAAAACGCATGTGAAAAATGTAATAAATTGATTTGCATTTTAATGAGGGAAATAAGTATTTGACCCCTCTGCAAAACATGACTTAGTACTTGGTGGCAAAACCCTTGTTGGCAAACACAGAGGTCAGACGTTTCTTGTAGTTGGCCACCAGGTTTGCACACATCTCAGGAGGGATTTTGTCCCACTCCTCTTTGCAGATCTTCTCCAAGTCATTAAGATTTCGAGGCTGACGTTTGGCAACTCGAACCTTCAGCTCCCTCCACAGATTTTCTATGGGATTAAGGTCTGGAGACTGGCTAGGCCACTCCAGGACCTTAATGTGCTTCTTTTTGAGCCACTCCTTTGTTGCCTTGGCCGTGTGTTTTTGGGTCATTGTCATGCTGGAATACCCATCCACGACCTATTTTCAATGCCCTGGCTGAGGGAAGGAGGTTCTCACCCAAGATTTGACGGTACATGGCCCCGTCCATCGTCCCTTTAATGCGGTGAAGTTGTCCTGACCCCTTAGCAGAAAACACCCCCAAAGCATAATGTTTCCACCTCCATGTCTGACGGTGGGGATGATGTTCTTGGGGTTATAGGCAGCATTCCTCCTCCTCCAAACACGGCGAGTTGAGTTGATGCCAAAGAGCTCCATTTTGGTCTCATATGACCACAACACTTTCACCCAGTTGTCCTCTGAATCATTCAGATGTTCATTGGCAAACTTCAGATGGGCATGTATATGTGCTTTCTTGAGCAGGGGGACCTTGC